AAAAAAATCATCAACAATTCATCGATAATTTGATGATGAAATGTTGATGAATTGTTGATGATTAATCGATTAATTGTGGATGATTCATCAACAATTCATCAACAATTCATCGCTGAATCATCAACAACACCCCTTCGGCTATTGATGAAACGTTGATGAATTGTTGATGAATGGTACTGCAAGGCATTGACATTTCCCCAATCCTAGAAGTTACATCAAAGTAATTTATTTACATTTATATACATACATATGTACATACGGACATATATTTGCGATACAGTCCTCGCTACTGATCTTCTACTAATTCTGCGTATATATTGGGTGTACAACTTTGCTTCCGCCGTTTTTTTCCCAAAATTAAAAGCTTTATTGCTGTTGGGGCAGCGCTTCCTTCCTTCGGAACAAGTGGAGTTTTAGAGGATGGAAAATTCCCACGGCGCAAGCGAAGTAGTGGCTAAGTAGAAATAAAAAAACGGGGGCGTCGTAGGGAAAGCTCAGCCGGCAGCGGTGGTGCAATGGGCCGCGTACCTAAACATTCCGCAATCACTCGGGTTGCAACAGGTCCGTGGACATTACGGCTGGTGACACGCGCCGGAGACGACCCAGCCGAAGACGGTGCTCTGGGCCACCGGGAGCCCTTCGTGGATCTTGAGGAACCCCGGTTGCATCACACGCGGATACATGTCCGCGCCCAGGACTACGGAGATCGTTGCTGGCATGTAGAAGCGCTCGTCGGCTAGCATGACGTCCCGGAAGTGGGCGCGCACCGCCTCACTCAGCTCCCGGACGGGAGTGCGGATGCGCACGCGAGGCTCCACCTTGAAGACCACGTCGAGTTGGACCTCATTGTCGGCCTTGGACCCCACGGTAGCCGCACAAATCTGCTCTCCACTGACACTGGTAGTTGGCAGCCGGAAACACGCTGCCAGCGACGCGTCTATACAGCTCACAGGCGTGCATGGGTCAATGAGGGCCGCCGTGTCGAATGTCTGCGTCCTGGTCTGGATGCGCACCAGCGCAGTCGGCAGGATATTGACGCTGTGCCGCTGCATGAGCAACGACAGCGACGGCGCCGTAGCCGCAAAGCTGCCGGCGGAACCTTGCTTACGAGCGGCAGGCGAGGGCCGAGGAGCCACTGTAGACTGCCGTGGAGCGCCGGACGAAGGCCGCGGCGCGGGTGCAGAACGCCGTGGAGCGGCGGACGAGGGGCGCTGAGCTGCTGAAAAACGCAGTGGAGCGGCGGATGCGGGTTGCGGAGCGGCTGCAGAACGCCGTAGAGCGGTAGACGAAGGCCGAGGAGCCGGAGAACCCCGCGACCGGGACCGTCGCGCCTCCTGACGCGGATTCCGCGGCTCATCGGAGAGGTGCAGCAATGTGTGGTGGTCCTGGCCGCACGTCATACAGCGATCTCACCGCTGACACCCTCCGTCAGAGTGCTCGTGGGCCAAGCAGTTGGGGCAGTACCGGTTGGCGAGGACGGCCCGGAGCCTCTTCTCGGCACTCAGCCGAAGAAAACGGCGACACATCTTCAGCGGATGAATCTTGTTGCAAACTCGGCATCGGTAGGAATTCGAACCTCGCGAACATCTGCGCTCCAGTGCGATGGCGCTGCGTGGACGTGGAGACATCGTGCCGCTATTACTGGCGGAATAGGACGGAGATAAAAAATCGAAATAAGTAATAGGCACTCGCAAGTCGAGACACGAATAGGAGCTACGGAACGGCACATTGACATAGAACATTGGGGCCGGTGGCTATTGGGGACCGGCGGAAGCTTCCGTCGGAAGAAGGACGAGCTTCGCTATGGGACGCTTAATGAGTCCTCGCGCCTTGCGGATGTCGACCACACGGACATGGCCATGGGCTCCGGGAAAGACCGCGTCAATCCTGCCTAAACGCCACTCATTGGACGGAAGGTTGTCCTCCTTGACAACTACCATGTCCCCGACCTGAAGATTCCTTGCCGGAGCTCGCCACTTATTCCGCTTATGGAGTTCCTTCAGGTACTCCTCCTTCCATCGTAAACGAAATTGCTGGTTAAGAGCCTTCAGGAGTTGCCAGCGGTTTATGATGGCCGTGGCGTCCCCCTTTATTTCGGGTTCAACCACGGCGAGGAGGGGCCCCCCAACAAGAAAGTGCCCAGGAGTCAGTGCCAACAGGTCCGCGGGGTCTTCGGACATTGGCGCGAGCGGGCGCGAATTCAGGCACGCCTCGATCCTAGCTAGAAGCGTAGATAGCTCTTAGAATGAGTATTTTCGCGTGGCCGTAGACTTGTAGAACAGGATCTTGAAACTTTTAACGCTTGCCTCCCACAAGCCTCCCATATGGGGGGCTCCCGGCGGAATGAACTGCCAGAGCAGCTGCTGGTGACTGTAAGCACCAGTCACAGCCTCCTTGACAGCTTGTAGGATGTCTCGGGAGAGAAGGGTAGCCGCACCCACGAAGGTCTTCCCGTTGCCCGACTGAACCTGACGGGGGCATCCTCTTCGGGACACAAAACGGGCAAAAGCGGCAAGAAACTTCTCAGTCGTAAGGTCGGATGTGGGCTCTAGATCAGTAGTCGGCACGTCCCAAGCCCATGGGATAGGCAAAGGCTCTGCCTGCAGCACACGGATAGCGTAAACTTCACACACACGGAGCAACACGTCATTTTTGCTCCGTACCTCACTCACACAAATGCGCTTTTTGGTTGATTGTGATGGTGCCGAGCACTGCTCTAGATGAATGGCCTTAGTGCAGAAGCACACGAACACAAACACATACCCCTTTGTTGTGAGACACATATCTGCGAGAGTGAACTGTGAGGTTGTGTTCTAACCGCGCTCCGCCTAAGTATCCTTTTTCTGGTCGGTTGCCGGGCGTAGTTAGCCTGAAACTGGGCAAAAGTGCAGTGTGAGACTCCTTGGACCCTGGTACGTACCCGGTGCCGCTCCTGGATCGGCTCTGAGGCCTTCCAAGTTGTCCAACAAACCTGGGCGCTTGCTCTACCGGTGGGACCCGAGGCAGGGGGGGGCGACTCTCTCCTCTCCTCTTCTCCGCACAAAACTCTTTTCGTGCTCTCACTTTCCATTTTCCTCACACCTTCCACAAGCTACTTTCCCCGCGTTTCTTTAGAACGTAAACACAGCTGATTTCGATCTATATCCTAGTGTTGTGTAACGCCAGGGGAGTGAGCCGCGCTTAACAGCACAACATCTCCAGTGTTGGTAAACACGCGTGGCTAAACTTTTCCCGCCGATTAAGTTTTCAAAACGCTGGCACAGATATTTATTTATTTAATTAAATAAATATAGTATTATATCCTGAAGCCGTGCTCGGCTGCGCAGTTGGCAGGTGGGAAAGGTCACGGAGCCGACCAAAGTCCGATCCCCCGCGTAAAGCGGTGTCCCATACAAGGGACGTCGGAGACCGAGAAGGGGCGGTATAACCCCCGTCGTAGCGCCAGGTGGAAATCTCTGGCCAGCGTGGGAGCCCTGCGTGGACCGACAGGCCGGCCATGGAGGAGGACATAAACCCCTTTGTGGGCGGTTCGGATCTAGCGAGGTCGCCCCAGAGGGAAGGGGATGAAGCAGTGGCCTTCAAGAGGAGCAGCAAGCTCTCCCGAACGCCCACGGAGCTGGATGGGCGGAGCCCTGGGCCAGGCTCTACGCCGCCTCCTTTTTTTGGGCATAGGCTTCCGTCGCCCTGTGTCCTGCTTCAGGACATGCTCTAAAATTATTGACATTTTTGGTAAATCATCTCTAAACTATGAGAAATTAACGTGTAAAGTTTGAACTTTCTATGTATTTTTCTTTGTCAAAACAAAATTCCTAAGGATTGCCTTTTTTTGGCACAACTAACCAGAATGGACCCTTAAATATACCAATACCGACATTTTCATACAAACCAATAAAATTAAAGAAAATGTGTTAAAATTTTTTTTTTTTCAGTTTTCAAATTATTCAAAAAAAAATATGTACATTTTACAATTGGGTGTCAAATGGCGTTTAAATTATTTTATTATCTTATTTGGTTCAAAAGTTATGATTTTTGCAAACTGAAAATAAGAAAAGGCGCTACTGTGCGCCGTAGAAATCGTGGCAAGATGCCACTAAAGATCGGGGCAGGCTGGGTTTGCAGCTGGCCATGAAATGTACGAATAGAATAATGAAATGAAGCCCATTATAATTCTTTATTAATAAAAAATCCAATGTTTAAGCTATCAATATAATTGTAGCCTATTCCATGGACACGTTAATTACGCGTATTTAAAAAAAAATCATTAAGATTCGTTAAAAATTGACTGAGATATTATGGTCGCCAGCCCGAAAAATGTAGTTTTCCAGAAAACGCGTATAAAGTTTTATGTTTGCTCTGTAGCTCCTTTGAGTCGGCCGGTTCGGAGGCTCATAACTTTTAAACTATTACGTATTTCGATTTGTCGTTTTAGTATGATATTCTAGACACTTATAACTATAAAAAAATTAAAGAAAAAAATTTTCGATTTTTTTTCAACCTACCAGAATGGACCCTTAAACAACATGTTGTCCTGGTGCACTCACAATTTATTGTTTCTTAACAACTCTAAATGTAAATACATGTCGTTTTACCCCAGAAATTGTTTCCATGTCAACTATTCCAAATGGAATAGAGTGTAGAACGAATCCATTCTGTAACGGATCTTTGAGTTCTATTAACCCACAACTTGAGCTTAACCGATCACATCGGTTAATTGTATGTAAAGCTAGAGGGGTTTTTGCCTTTGTAAAACTACCCTACAGTACCACATTTCATCAATAGGCCTTTTCATCAACAATTCATCAACGCGTCGACTGCGACGTCGATAGAATCGACGCTCTGCCGACTGCTACTTGAACCCGAACTCCCTTCGAGTCCGATTTGTTGGTGCATGTCCAAAAAAAACAATAAAAATTTGCATGGGCTTCGTTTATTGAAGTCCGAAACAAACTAAGAAACGCAACTGTCCCGAAAATTAGAAAGAGATGGTGATAGAGCGAAAGAAGGGGGAAAGAAATGTTCAGTCTTCGGTTTCGTCATGCTTCTTCTTATTCCCTTTGCATTACAAGTTGAAGTGTTCTCCACTGCAGAAGTGTCGTGTGTTAAAAATATTAAGAAATCAAATAATTCAATAATTACGTTCCGGGCCATATTGGAATATAAAAAAAGGTGAGTAAAAAGATTGTTCTTAATGAAATAGAAGCCTATAAATGTACATATGTATATTATTTTATTTATTATATGTATATAATATATTATATTTATATATGTGTGTATGTATTTTCTTTTCAGACTGCAGTAATGGCCAATATATTGGGTAATTTTATTTAATGAAATTATATTTTCCCTGGATTAATTATAATTTTTCTGTAGATGCAATTTCCCAAGTGACTAAAACTGAGCCTCCAGAGAAGATACTGCGCAATAAATTTGGTCTTCATGAATAGAAAGCGGAACACCAAGGATCAAAAATACCTTAAGGCCTTTTAATATATGGATGTTTAATCTTAATTTTTTTATATTTGTGTTTTAGTTTTGGTATAGAATTAGTAAGAATAAATAATATTAATAAAAGTTTAAGAGTTTTATTTTTATATATGAAAAAAAAAATCATCAACAATTCATCGATAATTTGATGATGAAATGTTGTGAATTGTTGATGATTAATCGATTAATTGTGGATGATTCATCAACAATTCATCAACAATTCATCGCTGAATCATCAACAACACCCCTTCGGCTATTGATGAAACGTTGATGAATTATTGATGAATGGTACTGCAAGGCATTGACATTTCCCCAATCCTAGAAGTTACATCAAAGTAATTTATTTACATTTATATACATACATATGTACATACGGACATATATTTGCGATACAGTCCTCGCTACTGATCTTCTACTAATTCTGCGTATATATTGGGTGTACAACTTTGCTTCCGCCGTTTTTTTCCCAAAATTAAAAGCTTTATTGCTGTTGGGGCAGCGCTTCCTTCCTTCGGAACAAGTGGAGTTTTAGAGGATGGAAAATTCCCACGGCGCAAGCGAAGTAGTGGCTAAGTAGAAATAAAAAAACGGGGGCGTCGTAGGGAAAGCTCAGCCGGCAGCGGTGGTGCAATGGGCCGCGTACCTAAACATTCCGCAATCACTCGGGTTGCAACAGGTCCGTGGACATTACGGCTGGTGACACGCGCCGGAGACGACCCAGCCGAAGACGGTGCTCTGGGCCACCGGGAGCCCTTCGTGGATCTTGAGGAACCCCGGTTGCATCACACGCGGATACATGTCCGCGCCCAGGACTACGGAGATCGTTGCTGGCATGTAGAAGCGCTCGTCGGCTAGCATGACGTCCCGGAAGTGGGCGCGCACCGCCTCACTCAGCTCCCGGACGGGAGTGCGGATGCGCACGCGAGGCTCCACCTTGAAGACCACGTCGAGTTGGACCTCATTGTCGGCCTTGGACCCCACGGTAGCCGCACAAATCTGCTCTCCACTGACACTGGTAGTTGGCAGCCGGAAACACGCTGCCAGCGACGCGTCTATACAGCTCACAGGCGTGCATGGGTCAATGAGGGCCGCCGTGTCGAATGTCTGCGTCCTGGTCTGGATGCGCACCAGCGCAGTCGGCAGGATATTGACGCTGTGCCGCTGCATGAGCAACGACAGCGACGGCGCCGTAGCCGCAAAGCTGCCGGCGGAACCTTGCTTACGAGCGGCAGGCGAGGGCCGAGGAGCCACTGTAGACTGCCGTGGAGCGCCGGACGAAGGCCGCGGCGCGGGTGCAGAACGCCGTGGAGCGGCGGACGAGGGGCGCTGAGCTGCTGAAAAACGCAGTGGAGCGGCGGATGCGGGTTGCGGAGCGGCTGCAGAACGCCGTAGAGCGGTAGACGAAGGCCGAGGAGCCGGAGAACCCCGCGACCGGGACCGTCGCGCCTCCTGACGCGGATTCCGCGGCTCATCGGAGAGGTGCAGCAATGTGTGGTGGTCCTGGCCGCACGTCATACAGCGATCTCACCGCTGACACCCTCCGTCAGAGTGCTCGTGGGCCAAGCAGTTGGGGCAGTACCGGTTGGCGAGGACGGCCCGGAGCCTCTTCTCGGCACTCAGCCGAAGAAAACGGCGACACATCTTCAGCGGATGAATCTTGTTGCAGACTCGGCATCGGTAGGAATTCGAACCTCGCGAACATCTGCGCTCCAGTGCGATGGCGCTGCGTGGACGTGGAGACATCGTGCCGCTATTACTGGCGGAATAGGACGGAGATAAAAAATCGAAATAAGTAATAGGCACTCGCAAGTCGAGACACGAATAGGAGCTACGGAACGGCACATTGACATAGAACATTGGGGCCGGTGGCTATTGGGGACCGGCGGAAGCTTCCGTCGGAAGAAGGACGAGCTTCGCTATGGGACGCTTAATGAGTCCTCGCGCCTTGCGGATGTCGACCACACGGACATGGCCATGGGCTCCGGGAAAGACCGCGTCAATCCTGCCTAAACGCCACTCATTGGACGGAAGGTTGTCCTCCTTGACAACTACCATGTCCCCGACCTGAAGATTCCTTGCCGGAGCTCGCCACTTATTCCGCTTATGGAGTTCCTTCAGGTACTCCTCCTTCCATCGTAAACGAAATTGCTGGTTAAGAGCCTTCAGGAGTTGCCAGCGGTTTATGATGGCCGTGGCGTCCCCCTTTATTTCGGGTTCAACCACGGCGAGGAGGGGCCCCCCAACAAGAAAGTGCCCAGGAGTCAGTGCCAACAGGTCCGCGGGGTCTTCGGACATTGGCGCGAGCGGGCGCGAATTCAGGCACGCCTCGATCCTAGCTAGAAGCGTAGATAGCTCTTAGAATGAGTATTTTCGCGTGGCCGTAGACTTGTAGAACAGGATCTTGAAACTTTTAACGCCTGCCTCCCACAAGCCTCCCATATGGGGGGCTCCCGGCGGAATGAACTGCCAGAGCAGCTGCTGGTGACTGTAAGCACCAGTCACAGCCTCCTTGACAGCTTGTAGGATGTCTCGGGAGAGAAGGGTAGCCGCACCCACGAAGGTCTTCCCGTTGCCCGACTGAACCTGACGGGGGCATCCTCTTCGGGACACAAAACGGGCAAAAGCGGCAAGAAACTTCTCAGTCGTAAGGTCGGATGTGGGCTCTAGATCAGTAGTCGGCACGTCCCAAGCCCATGGGATAGGCAAAGGCTCTGCCTGCAGCACACGGATAGCGTAAACTTCACACACACGGAGCAACACGTCATTTTTGCTCCGTACCTCACTCACACAAATGCGCTTTTTGGTTGATTGTGATGGTGCCGAGCACTGCTCTAGATGAATGGCCTTAGTGCAGAAGCACACGAACACAAACACATACCCCTTTGTTGTGAGACACATATCTGCGAGAGTGAACTGTGAGGTTGTGTTCTAACCGCGCTCCGCCTAAGTATCCTTTTTCTGGTCGGTTGCCGGGCGTAGTTAGCCTGAAACTGGGCAAAAGTGCAGTGTGAGACTCCTTGGACCCTGGTACGTACCCGGTGCCGCTCCTGGATCGGCTCTGAGGCCTTCCAAGTTGTCCAACAAACCTGGGCGCTTGCTCTACCGGTGGGACCCGAGGCAAGGGGGGGGGCGACTCTCTCCTCTCCTCTTCTCCGCACAAAACTCTTTTCGTGCTCTCACTTTCCATTTTCCTCACACCTTCCACAAGCTACTTTCCCCGCGTTTCTTTAGAACGTAAACACAGCTGATTTCGATCTATATCCTAGTGTTGTGTAACGCCAGGGAGTGAGCCGCGCTTAACAGCACAACATCTCCAGTGTTGGTAAACACGCGTGGCTAAACTTTTCCCGCCGATTAAGTTTTCAAAACGCTGGCACAGATATTTATTTATTTAATTAAATAAATATAGTATTATATCCTGAAGCCGTGCTCGGCTGCGCAGTTGGCAGGTGGGAAAGGTCACGGAGCCGACCAAAGTCCGATCCCCCGCGTAAAGCGGTGTCCCATACAAGGGACGTCGGAGACCGAGAAGGGGCGGTATAACCCCCGTCGTAGCGCCAGGTGGAAATCTCTGGCCAGCGTGGGAGCCCTGCGTGGACCGACAGGCCGGCCATGGAGGAGGACATAAACCCCTTTGTGGGCGGTTCGGATCTAGCGAGGTCGCCCCAGAGGGAAGGGGATGAAGCAGTGGCCTTCAAGAGGAGCAGCAAGCTCTCCCGAACGCCCACGGAGCTGGATGGGCGGAGCCCTGGGCCAGGCTCTACGCCGCCTCCCAAGAGGACACGGGATCCTGCGAGCCCGACCAGTTCGCAGAGATCCACGCCTGCCAAAAAGAGCAAGGCATCTGAGGAGGCAGCCAGCCTGCAGGATCTCCAAGAATTGGGGAAACTGCTGCAGGAGGTTTCCACTAAAATGATGGACAAGACGACGCGTCACATCACCGTCTCAACAAGGGAACTGTTTGCCAAAATGAAGGCACTGCACGCAAACATCCTTGCGGCAAGCAGAGCGGCAGCTGCGGGCGCCAACGAAAGACAGGAGAGCGAGGCCGGGAACAGCCGGTGCCCAAAATGCGCCCAGTGCATACTCTGCGTCGACAAGGAGCAGCAGACACCGACAGTATGGATGAAGGATGCTACTGCTCAAACAGAGCCCTGGCGAAGGCTGAGCCAGCCAAATTGGCCGGAACTACCAGCATCTGCGACTGCCCCTACACCAACTGGCGCAGCGCAGCAGGGAATCGCGAAAGGGCCCAAAAAGCCCCGGAAAAAGCCTCAAGGAGCCCAGCCAGAGCCCGCGGAGGCCCATGTTGCCGCCCGGACTCTCGAGAACCCCGGAAAACCCGCTGGGGAATGGGAGGTAGTTGCCAAGAAGCCGAGGGCAGCGCGCCGTGGACGTCCTGATGCTGTCATCGTGCAGGCAAACGGCAAGTCCTACAGCGAGGTGCTAGCCATGGTGACCAGGAGGGGCGACAGGCAGTTGTCGGACCAGGGTGCTTGTGTCTCGAAGGTTCGTCGCACTAACAACGGCAACCTGCTCCTAGAGGTGGCCAAAGGCAGCGTGGAGAGCGCCGAGACCATGAAGGAGAGCATCGAGTGGGTGCTCGGTGAGTCCGCGCACGTAAGTGTTGGTGATGGAGATTAGGGACATCGACTCCATCACCTCGAAGGAGGAGGTCTGTGCCGTTATCGCCGGCCAATTCAATTTCGAAGTAGGACGTGTGAGAGTCCGGAGCATGCGCCGCGGCCACTCAGAGACGCAGCTGGCGGTGGTCAGCCTGCCCATCCCATTGGGCAAGGCAGTTTTGCAGCGTGGCGAGGTGCCTGCTGCATCAAATGTGGAGAGTCGGGCCACAAAGCAGCCATATGCGCCAACGAGCCCTCTTGTTTCCTTTGCAAGGCGGCCGGTAGCAAGGACGCAAGGCACCAGGCAGGCGGCAGTGGCTGTCCAGCTGCTGGCTGAGGGGATGGCAACAAACCAACC